TTGCTGTATTATAAAAGTGTATCAGGTAAAGTCTTTTCTGAAAGCTAATGACGCACTGGTGATTAATATCATTGTGAAATGTATGTATTAATGATATATGAGAAAAAATGGATACTCACTGATATTATGCTTTAAATTTTGTGACCAAACACAGGGAGAAACAGGTTTTTCCTCAGTCAGGAAGAAAGGTATGGAAACAAAACAATGGAAACCCCATTTATATACAAATCAGCAGGGAGATGGGAAGTCCACAAGAAGGGAAGAAGAGCATAAGGTTATCCTGAGTCTTGGGACAAAACAGTGAGTTTAGGAAGATATATGGAGAGAGAAGCAGCCATCCTGGCATCCATCACTGGATAGACACAAGGAGCCAGAGCTCTTTCAAGCTGAGAAAGATGGGTCAACCAAGGCGGTTAGAGTCTCTGGGAACTGAATATATGTGTCAAACCTGCTTAGAAAAAGATCTTTCACCTAGGAAGACAAGGGAAGCCAGCAACTAGTACTTCTGTGGAAGGTTCTAACTGAGAGAAAGTTAGTCTTGGCTGGAAAGAAAAAGTAAGAAATCTACCTTGAACCAAGACTATAGCCAGGGCCGGCTGCAGGGTTTTGGCCGCCCCAAGCAGCCAAACAACAACCAAAAAAAAGCCGCGATCGCGATCTGCGGTGGCAATTCAGCGGGAGGTCCTTCGCTCCGAGCAGGAGTGAGGGACTCTCCGCCGAATTGCCGCCGAACAGCTGGATGTGCTGCCCCTCTCCAAAGTGGCTGCCCCAAGCACCTGCTTGGTAAGCTGGTGCCTGGAGCCGGCCCTGACTATAGCTTGTTGAATTAAGTCTTAGCCACTAGAAAGCATATTTTACTTTTATTTTCTTGTAACAGTTTTGTCTTTGTCCTTTTACTTAAACTCACTTAAAACCTAGCTTTTTTGTTAAATAAACTTTTTACTTTTATTCTAAATCAACCTGAACTGTGTTTGATTTGAAGTGATTATTAACTCCAGTTAAAGCAACAAGCTGCTGTGCATTTGTCTCTTTAAAGGAGATTTGCTGGGCATAGTGCAGTCTGTGCATTGTATGAGGTGAAGGAATGCAAGGGATGGATTGTAATTTATCTGGTGCGGAAGTATATGTAATGTGGAGGTGTGCATATGGTGCTTGTGGTGATGGAGTGGTACAGTGTGCAGGGACCCAGCTGTACAGCAGGCTGAATACTACAAAAACATTGTTTAGTTCAACTATGTTTGGCCTATTTTAATGCATACACCCAAATGGATATGTTTACTAACGTTTGGAGAATATCTGTTCTCCATACAAATAACCACATTTGCATGGAAATAAGGGTATTCATGATGCACCATGCGGAATTCTGCTGCAGTCATCCAGTCAGGGACAGTACCAAGTAACTGAAGTGAATAACCACACAATAACCGAGCAATAGAAGTGAGCACATGGCAGACACCTAACAGACTGAACATTATTTAATTTATTAATTGGATAGTTAATGAAAAATAAATAAGGCAACCAGTCCTGTTAGTGCAGGTAGTGGGAAGGATTGTGTAGTGGAGGGTGCATGGCACAGTATGGCGGGAGGTTTGCCAAGAGTCAGGACCCCAGCTCCATTATTGTGTGCAGGGGATAGACTCCCGGATTCCAGAAAGTGTCAGGGAAAGTAGGGGGATGTTAGTGTGGGGGAGAGGTGAAATTTGGTACAGCATGTCCAGTTCTATTAGTGTATGTGGTCTAAAGGTTTTGGTAGAGGTGTGTGTAGTGTAGGAAATATACACAACAGAAGAGGTGTGTGTGTTGGGTGGGGGTAGTTGTAGTTTCAGAATCTATCAGAGCTTGTCTACAGAGTGTGGCCAACTGAGCTGCATTCTATTCCTGCCACTGGCCAACTGGGTGACCTTGTCTAAGTCCCGTCACCTCTGTGCCTCAGTTTCCCCATCTGTAAAACAGAGAAAATTATACTGACCTCCTTTCCACAGAGCATTGAGAGCTGCTGATGAAAAGCATTATATAAGAGTTAGGTATTATTGTTACACAGGAACAGGTCCCCATGTTGACATTCTTATTTCGGAATAGCTACTGTCCTTTAAATTCACATATTAACTTAATCAGTAATAACTGTCAACTGCAGACAAGCCCTCTGAGAGTGTGTGGGGAGAGGTTGATGTATAGAGGAAGCAGCGGGACACTGTGTGAGGGGATGCCATGTGTGGCATTGATCTGTAGCGGAGGCAGAGGAACAGGCTGTGTGAGGGGGACCATGTGTGGGCGGGGTGATGTGTAGGGGAGGCAGAGGGACACACTGTGAGGGGGTTGCCATGGCAGTGATATGTAGTGGAGGTGGAGGGACACAGTGTTACTCCTGAGGGCATTCTTCACCAAAAAATTAAAAATTCTGCACCACAATTTTAAAAATTCTGCACACAATATTTTAAAATTCTGCAAGTTTTATTTTTCAATAAATAAATGCACAGGCTGCAGCATGGCAGTGGGGAGCACAGGCCACTGGCTGCACAAAGGTGGGAGATCACCCTGCAGCTCCCCCAACCCTCACCCCCGGGACACGGACTCAGTGATGAAGTTGCACCCTGACACAGCACAAGGCCTGGGCCTACCCCAGAAACACCCTGGGGCCCTGCCCCTCTGTGCCAGGGGTGGGGCAGACAGGTTCAACCAGGCAGTATCCAAGTGTGGGGGGATCCAGGTGTGGGGTGAGAGGATTCTATGTGGGACAATCTGGGTGCAGGCAGCTCAGTGGGGGTTCTAGGTGTGCAGGGATCTGGATACACAGAGGCTCATGGGGGGGCATTGTAGGTGCAATGGGACTCTTCAGAGGCTTCCAGGTGAAGGTGGTTGGGGTTCAGCGGAGGGGTCTGGGTGTGGGGGTCTCAGCGGTGGGGTCTGGGTGCTGAGGGAGTGGGGCTTGGTGGGGTGGGGGTCTGGATGCAGTTAGTTGGGGGTCAGTGGCATGGGGATGTGGGGGCTTAGGAGGATGCAGAGGGGTGGGGCTCAGGGTCAGGGGTTGAGTGCAGGGAGCTCAGTGGAGGTGGTCTGGGTGCAGGAGTGGGGGTCTAGAGGCAGGAGATCTGGGTGCAGGGGGCTCCAGATGCAGGTTTCAAGGTTCAGTGGGGTGGGGTTTGGGTATGGAGGGCTAGGGGTATTCTGGGCATATGGGGTGGCTTGGCAGAGGTGTCTGGGCATGGGAGGTCGGAGGCAAGGTGGTGAGTGGATGGGAGAGCACCTCCCAGTACAGTGACCACGCCTCCTGCAGCTGAGGAGCACTGGGGGCAGGAACCAGGGGAGGATGCTGTACCTCCTCTAGCTGGGTGAGGTTTCTGGGAGTGGGTCTGACACAGCCCCAGCCACGCCTTGCAGGGGAAGGGGAAGAGGGACATGCTGTGAAGGGGGTTGAGGTGGAGAGATGCACTGTGAGGGAGAAGACTACCCGGGAAGGGGGTTGAGGTGTAGGGGGAGGCATTGTGAGCGAGAGGGTTGAGGTGGGGAGGGAAGTGCTGTGAGCGAGGGAATTGCTGGGGCGGGGGGGATGTGGCAGCCTTCCCCCTCCCCCCAGTTCTCTCCCTGTGCCGGCCACTAGGGGGAGCTTTTGCTCTGATTTCCGCGCGTTCGAACGCGCCCTGGCAGCTGTTCGGACCCCCTGGGGCTGCCGTAGGCGGCTTCCCCCGCTGCCATGGGAACGGAGCCCAGCCTGTGTTGGTGCCCCGGCGCTGGAGCAGGGAGGTGGCGGCTGCTGCACGAGCCCTGCACTGACCCCGACGTTCACCGCATCGATGTCCTCGCCGGCCGGGTCCGAAGTCGCCCCGGCCCCATCCCCAGCCCTGTCCCATCTGGCCGGCAGGGAGAAGCGCAGGCCGAAGCTGGTCTCGGACAGGGACCTGCGGACCAGCCAGGTGGGCGCGACCCAGGGTGACCGGCACCGACAGTGCGGTCCAGGGGAGCGGGCCGGGGGCGAAGCA